AGAAATTCAACAATTAGCAGAATTTTTAAAATAATTGCTTTTTTGCGTGTAGCGTGGTCACAAATTAAAAAGAAGTATACTGCTCTCGTTGTAGACATCATGCAAATTGATTTGTTCAGGAAAAAAAGAAGACTCGTGTCCAAATATGGAGCAATGTATCTTCTTTAAAAGAAGACAAATTTTAATAGAAAACACGTCATTTTTAATGAAGTTCGAAACGTGTTTTTTTTTCTTTTTTTTTTTTTAAATACAAGATCGTGTTTTTGGCTTATTCTTAAACATATGAATAAAATGTCGGATCGTTAAACCAAACTGCCGTTAGTAATCAAGGCGACTTAGAGACAAAAGTGATTTGGTTCTACAGAAGGATGCTGAGAATATCATTGACGAGACATGTGAGAACAAAAAGTATATTTGTGTTTAGAATCAGGAAGATACAACAGAAATTTCTCAGACACATAATGAAGAAAGAAGGCTTGTAGAATTTGACACTGACAGGAAACGTTAAATGGAAGAGCAAAAGAGGAACACCACAAGCCTCCTACTTAAGGAATTCGTGTAAATGGATGGTAGAACAGGGTGTGTGAAGGATAATCAGGAGACAATCATTATCTGGAGCAGGGATCGGCAACCTCCGGCATGTGTGCCACATGTGGCACGCCAAAAAATTTCCAATGTCCCACAGCCGCAAATGACATCACAAACTTCAAACAAATAACTACTATAATGCAAAGAAGATATTTAGCTGTTTCAATTTTAATATATACTAAAGTATATATACTATATATTACTATATAAAATATATTGTAGAACAGGTATATTGACCTTGACTTGTATAAAAATATGTAGTCAGCAAAAAGTTGCCGCTACCTGGACTAAATAGGCAGTGCTATTTGAGTTAGGCTTTTCTTCACTCCTTGGCACATAGTTAGCAAAAGATTGAACTTTATTTCAATGTTTTTATTGAACTATTTCTGCAGCTTATTTACTTTGAAATCTGTTCCTGGTGTTTTTTTTTTCACGATTTCTTTAATGTTTGGCAATATTTCGCGGCAAACTAGAGCCCCGCAACATGGCGGTTTACAATCACTGATCCAGACCTACAAACACGTGAAGAGCCATGATCACCCATGTCCTGAAAGAACACGGCTAGTAACTTTTCTTAAAGTGTTGATTTATATTAATTTCAGTAATCCTAATAGTATATATATATATATATATATATATATATATATATATATATATATATATATATAAATATATAAAAGTGAGCATTGAAGTCAACACTTAGAGACGTCAGGCTGTGTAATGCTAGACGCAATTGTCAGGCCTGACGATATATATATATATATATATATATATATATATATATATATATATATATATATATATATATGTGTGTGTGTTTTCAAAACGTTCGATGATTGTTTTATAAGAGTTGTTTAAAAGTTCTCGGCCAGACCATGAAGACAAGAGAAGCTAATGAGCTTGTAAAAGGTGTTCCAATAACTTAGTCTAATGATTTTTTCTTTCTCTTTCAGATTCGGCGGACATTTGGGCGATATTATTATTCACACATAATTGCTCTGGCTTTAATAATATGATCCAATAGAGAAATAAATAGTTTTTCACCAATAAGACTGATTTATTTACTGCTGATTTTGATCCGTCTTAATGAAACACCCTTATATAAAATCCGTCTTAATAAAACACCCTTTATGAATGGATGATAGAACAGGGACTAGAAAGAATATTGCTTTGAGCTATGTAGGGGAAAGCTATGACCGATCATGTTGTGAAGGGAAAGGTAATGTTCCTCAAACAGAAGATTAATGTACAACTGCCATAGATAGGCTGTATTTTGCTGATATTTAAATAAATGAGTTTTTTTTAGACGGACTCGGGGATGTTCACACATATTTATGTAGTCTCAACAGTTAAATAAATACAAAAATGACAAATATATTTTTCGTTTCTTGAAATTTTGCGTTTAGTTGTATTTTTTAATTTTTTTTTATTGAATATCAGATGCTTTTTCAACATTATACAATCACTGATGGATCCATTGAGTTGTATGTAATTTGCAGCGGTAGAGTAAATATCTGTCTATATCTCATTTCCATATTTACAACGTTTCGGCCTCTATATCTCTGAGATGAGGTATTATGATTACTTGCATTATTTACATTATTCGGATTGTTATCTTCATCTTCATTGCCATATTCACAACGTTTCGGCCGTTGTACGCTCCAGCCTTCTTCAGGTGAATGGAATTTCGAACAGAACCTTTTATTTTGTCCACCGGGGTAGATTGTTCTGGTTCCACGTGTCATGTCTCTTCCGGATATCTTAGTTATTTCCCTTTAACGCAACTCCAAGTTTTGGTTCATTGCTGTGGCCTGGTATTGAACTCACAACTCTTTGGGTATAGTCACTTGATCTAACCAACGTCTTTATCCATTTGGCCATGTGTCCTTGAGGAATATGTTTTTTTTTTACTGGGAATATAGAAAGCATTGTGTACAACATAGGCAAGCAGTATATAATATAATAATATTTACGACAGTTGTAGCCATCAATATTAGAGAGATAAAAAGAGTCATGATGTGCCTTGCGACGAGAAGTTTTACTTATCGCATGGAATCACCCATCAACACATGATCAGGTGTCAGGGTTTAATTATAACTCTAGCCCTTCAGTCTTGATGGGGAGAAGCTGTCTGGGGTACTGGGTTCCCTGACGATAGATATGTAAATGTAGGATCTTGACCGAGGAAAGATCTCAGAGATATTGTCAAGTAGTTGGAAGAATTTTTAATCAGAAGAAGAAGCGAACCCCTCTCGAAGAAATTGTTATTAAGAAAAGCTGGAATATTGAAGAGGGTGTTGGAGACTTGCTTTCAGTTGACGTTAGATGAAGACCACCAGTTAGCATTGGTTATAAAAAGATATTCATAATACTAGAATACTGAGGAAGGTGCTGGAACTTTAACGAGACTTGCGATTGCCAATACATACAAAGAATGTGAGTGATGAAATAGATAAATAGATAGATAGATAAATAGATAGATAGATAGATAGATAGATAGAGATAGAGAGGGAGAGAGAGAGAGAGAGAGAGAGAGAGAGAGAGAAAGAAAATATGAAAAGTGAGAATAAGAATCGTGTATTTAGCTGATTAATCTGTGGTACATACAAGAGTGAAATTGTAATTTTAATAAAAAATAATGACAATGTAATAAGTGATGAAATTTCAATTTGGTCGTTGTTAGAAACATTCGTCAAGAAATCTACGCATGATTGATTCAAGACGTTTTCGTTTACACAGAACTAAGTCCAGCATTGAATATTGAACGGAAAATATCTATTTTTTATGTTTTCGATTCGAGCAAAAAGTTGTGCATTGTTATTTCCTATAAGTAATCGATTATTGATCTCTTCTGAAAGCGATTTGTTCAAAATGTGTGCCATTGAATGAAAGAAAAAGAAAAAAAATCAGCAGTAGAAGGTGGGAATTATACACTTAAGGGGTTAATTTTTGGGGGAATTTAAAAGTTTAAAAATAAAAATGCTATTATGCCGGACGATTTTCTCACCGGGTAACTCAACGTAAAAATGATTAGTAATCTTTCCTCCGTCTACTCTCGTATATAACTAGAAATTTCGTTTTATGTGTTTATTTATCTCTTTTCATATCTACAGAGATTCGATTTACCATTTCTTATTTGTGAGCACACAAACACAGATGCACACAAACACAGAGGCACACAAACACAGATGCACACAAACAAATAAGTTCCGTGTGACGTGTTTCGACCTTTAGGACTTCATCAGACGTAATTGATGTTTACTTTGATTCAAACACACATGCGAACGAAGGAGAAGGAATGCTGGGAATTTTAAAATTAAAAAAAAATCAATCTTTTGGTATATAATCTTACCAATTTCATTTATTTCCTATTTCTTCAATGTCTGCCTATTACTGTTAGATGCAATATTATGATGACTTGCATTATTTACATTATTCGGACTGTTATTCTTATCTTTATTCACAACGTTTCAGCAATTGTTCGCTTCGGCCTTCTTCAGGTAATTGGATCTCTGAGATGATATATTATGATGACTTGCATTATTTACATTATTCGGACTGTTATTTTCATCTTCATTGCCATATTCACAACGCTTCGGCCATTGTTCCCTCCGACCTTCTCCAGGTGATTGGATCTCTGAGAGTAGGTATTATGATTACTTGCGTCATTTACATTATTCAGACTTATTCTGAAATTTGAATTGACTGGAAGAAACTTTTGCTAAAAATGTCATTCTCTTCATTAAAAAGTTTTCCAAAAATAGAATATTCTGGAACTTTATTTGGTGAATATTAACTGATTTAAAGTATTATTAATCTGATTTAATACAACTATTATTTTCTTTAAGTTATTGCAGAGATGCATTATTAACACAGCTGTAACTGTTTATTTAAGCTGTTTACGTGTTTTGTTCAATGAGGCTCTAGCTGTAAAAATACAATTAAATATAACGTGAATGCCTTTTAGATATAATTTTTAAGCACTCAGTAATTTTAAAAATATAGGAAAAATATTCTCCGTAATCTAATGTTTTATTGAATTTTAGATACTTTGTGGCTTTAAATTTACTATAGTTATCCTTCTTATTTTCTGATAATGCCGTATATGGGCGACGGTATGTACCAAAATTGGAACGTTTATACACAGAAAACAGTTTGAACATTTGAGGAATTGATATGTTTGTATAATCGATACAATATGTATTATTGGGTGCAGGCTTTGTTTTTCATTACTGTGTACCTACTTTTGCACCCCCCCTGCATAACATCCTGTCTTTGGTGTAAATTTTCGACGTTTTTGCACGTCTCCTTCTTGATTGATTAATGATGAGAGAGAGATTGATAAACCAGTTAAGCTGCTTTTTTTTTGTATTTCAATATTACCATTTTTTGTTCTCACTCTTTTTTGTTAGGTTCAAACACCCGTTCCCGTACAATCACCAAAGTTAAGAAACGTCGAGCCTGATCAGTGACCTGATGGGTGACCTCTTGGGAATACCAGGTACTGTAAGCTTGGATATATGGGTGGTCCAATGGTTTGGTTTGGTTTATTTTGTTTTACGGCATATCAACCTCAATGGGTTATTTAATGCCGATAACATTTTTAGGATAGATTCGAATGAATAGAATATGTTATTTAATGCTTTGGTTTAAATTGGTTTGGTTTATTTTTTTTAACCTCATATCAATTTTTTCAATGGGTTTATTTTTTGTTTTACGGCATGCCAATGGGTTGTTTAATGCCGATAACATTTTTAACATTTTAGTTTTTCTTTATTTTGTTTTAGATTCGTAAATTAGAATATTTTAGTATTCTTTGGTTTATTCTTTAGTTTATTGGTTTGGTTTATTTTGTTTTACGGCATATCAACACCTCAATGGGTTATTTAATGCCGACAACATTTTTAGGATAGATTCGTATGAAGAGAATATGTGTTCTTTGGTTTAGATTGGTTGATTTTGTTTTACGGCATATCAACCTCAATGGGCCATTTAATGCTGACAAAAATTTTTATTGCTGTTAATATTTTGTTTTGTCAAAAATCTGTTTCTAGTGATATATTTCCTTCAAAATTGTATTGCCGGTAATAATTTTTATCAAAAAATTATTGCTGGTAATAGTTAACTATTTGTCCATTGCTGGGACCCTAACAGGTGGTACCACCCGAGTCATGGTAGACCTGGGAACACCAGCAATTAAGAGGTGGTTCAACGCTCCTCAAAACCTCCTGATCAGAGGGCTTGCTGCTGGACGTAGTTTAACGTCTTACCCTGGACGCGGATGTAGTTTAACGTCTTACTCAGGACTGGACGTAGTTTAACATCTTACCCAGGAAGCGGATGTAGTTTAACGTCTTACACGGGACGCGTATGTAGTTTAACGTCTTACCCAGGACGCCGACGTAGTTTAACGTCTTATCCAGGACGGGGTGGTCCAATGGATAATGGCTCGGAATTATTATTCGAAAAGACAAGTTCCAATTCCCGTTGGGTTCGTTATATTCAATTACGCGCAGATACCCTTTGGACAAGCATGAACTCTCCTCCCATCTATAGGTTAATTAGTAAGGCTTGTATTATTAAAATCATTGTGATCTCCCGCCCCCCATAATGTTTCTTATAATCTAAATATATTTTCTGGGTTTAAATAACCTGCAAATGCTTGAAATCTGTAGAAAACGAATCCAACAGTCTCTTTTAACATGTTCATATTTATCCATTATATATATATATATATATATGTGTGTGTGTGTGTGTGTGTGTATGTGTCTGTGTATGTGTCTGTGTGTATGTATGAATTGTTTAAAATTTGCATATATTTATATGTAAAAATTTCAGAAAGAGTATACCTACAAAAGGACAATATGAATAAAGACAAAAGGGAAATTTATCGTAGCCGACTTTTTCGCTAAACTAATGAATATTCATGAACACCCTTATACCCAGCAAATTTGAAAAACCAATAACGTTTTTGCTCTTGTATATAAATACTTGTCGCAAAATAAAATCCTTACATTTTCCTTGATAAAGTCCATCAGAGGACGAAACGTCTCGGCTAATATAAGTTGGCATTTTGCCTTTATTCATATATAACGTAATTCCCCATGTATAATACACCTTCATATATGCCGTAATTCCCCATGTATAATACACCTTCATATATGCCGTAATTCCCCATGTATAATACACCTTCATATATGCCGTAATTCCCCATGTATAATACACCGTCATCCATAATACGCATACCTAAAATTGTGCTGAAAGCGTAGGAAAATGCTTCTACTCATACATAATACGCACTCCTTGTTTGGTAATCAAACCCTATAAATTGTACCTTCCCAAGCGTTTCCTACTCTTATTTTAAAATAATGTTTTTAAACATAGAATAATATTATTCTAATTTAGTTTTATGATAATTTCTTATTTTATTTTACGGCAATTTTTTAACGATTTTTGTAACTGTGCATAATACGCATCCCTGATTTTACTTATTATTTTTTTCGCGTTTTATACATGGGGAATTCCAGTATATATTTGAAGGGAGTTCGGTTTTAGGCAAATGATTCCAGTGTTTTTATTCACGATTTCCTACTGTCGTTTCCGATTTTTATGATTGAAAGCGCCTGAAACTTTTGCACTCCTAACACAAATATATACGGAAGCAAATCAATTAGTCTGTATCATGATAAAAGCATTTTACGCTAAAAAATATTTACTTTTCAACATAATCCCCTTCTTTGTTAATGCACTTAACACAACGCGAGTCCATTAATCGCAGAGGTCGAACTATACCGTGAGAATATTAAATCAAAATTCAACTAATAAATACCAGGCAACATATTTATTAATATACAATTATACGTACACACACGCACACACGTATACACACAAGCGCGCGCACACACACACGCATATATATATATATATATATATATATATATATATATATATATATATATATATATGTAATTAAAACTTTATTTCCTATTGCGTGAATGATTATAAAAGTTAATGTTGATTACACGTACACACACACAGACGCACATGCGCATACACACACACTTTCATAAACATATAAGGACAGGCTCCACCCCCACATTCTCACACACACACACACACACACACACACACACACACACACACACACACACACACACACACACACACACACGCTATGTACACAGACGCGTAAACGAAAGAAAAAATTCTCGAAGAGACGAGATTATGATCTGGAACGAAATCAGAAAACCATTTTCCCGACAGGCTGCATCTACTGCAGGTCGTCAAGTACATGTGTATTGATTGGATGTCATCCTCAGCTGCGCCTACTCCCATCCTTTCCTTATCATTTAACACTAAAATCAGTTTTTGGTTTCGCTTTCCTTTTAGCTTTCAATATTGATAGATTTCAATTTCATTTACCAATTTTGAATTCTAACTTCACCTCAATTACATTTTCGATATGAATTTCAGTTTTATTTCTAAAAAAAATCTCCTTTTGACCCTTCTAGCATTTTCATTTCTTTTATGTCCCCTTTAAGTATTTTTTTCCATTTTCTCTTTCTACAACTTTCTTTCTTTTTTAAGTTTGCTTTTTTTCTTTAACGTTCCTTTTTACCTCTAATCATTTTCTTTTTTGCTTTCTTCGGTAATTTTCTCTTAACGTCTAATCTTTTACCTTCTTTCTTTCTTTCTTTCTTTCTTTCTTTCTTTCTTTCTTTTTTAAACTTCTTTTTTCTTTTCTGTAATATTTTTCTTTCATTTGTAATTTTTCTATTTTCTTAACGTCTCTTTTTTCTTTAAACATTTTCTTCTTTCTTTCTTTTTTCTTTCTTTCTTTCTTTCTTTCTTTCTTTCTTTCTTTCTTCTTCTTTTGTAAGTTTTATTTTCCTTTTTTTCACTCATTCATTCATTTATTCATTCTTTCTTTCTTTTGTAAGTTTTCTTTTCCATTTTTCTTTCTTTCTTTCTTTCTTTCTTTCTTTCTATCCTTTTAAATTCCTTCTTTAAAATTATTTTTCTTCTCTGTAAACTTTTTATTTCTTCTTTCTCTTTCTTTCTTTAAACTGCTTTTTGCTTTCTTTCTTTCTTTCTTTCTTTCTTTCTTCAAACTTCTTTTTTTCCGTTTTCTTTCTTTCTTTCTTTATTTCTTCTGTAAGTTTTCTTTTTCTCTAATATCTTAACTTTTTTCTCTCTCTTTCTTTTTCCTTTCTTTCTTTCATTCATTCTTTCTTTCTTTTTCTTATTTTAAAATTCTTTTTTCTGTATCCTTCTTTCTTTCTTTCGTTTGTCTTTCTTCTTTTTTACTTACCGTCCTTTTTTTCTCTGAACATTTTCTTTTCTTTCTTTCTTTCTTTCTTTCTTTCTTTCTTTCTTTCTTTCTTTCTTTCTACTGTAAGTTTTCATTTTCATTGATATCTCTCCTTTCTTTCTTTCTTCCTTTCTTTTTTTCTTTCTTTTTTCTGTATCCTCCATTCTTTCTTTTTTTTTCTTATGTAATTTTCCTTTTGCTTAACATCTGTTCTTTGTTTGTTTCTTTCTTTCTGTAAGTTTTCATTTTCCTTGACGTCTCTCCCTTTTTCTTTTGCTTTAGTTCTTTTTCTTTCTTTTTTCTTTCTCTTTCTTTCTTTCTTTAAATTTCATTCTTCTTTTTCTGTATCCTTTCTTTCTTTCTTTTTTTCATCTTTCTTTCTTCCTTTAAACTTCTTTTTTCCTTTTCTATAACGCTTTGTCTTTTTCGTTCTTTGTAATTTTTTTTGTTTCTTAACCTTATCTCAACATTTTCTTACTTTCTTTCTTTCCTTTTTTATTCTTTATTTTCCATTTAACCTTTCTTTCTTTCTGTAAGTTTTCCTTTTCCTTGACGTCTCCCCTTTTTTCTTTTTCTTTTGTTCTTTTTCTTTCTTTCTTTTTTCTTTCTTTCTTTCTTTAAATTTCATTCTTCTTTTTCTGTATCCTTCTTTCTTTCTTTTCTTAAACTTCTTTTTTCTTTTCCTACAATCCTGTCTTTTCTTTCTTTCCATTGTAATTTTTCTTTCCTTCCTTTGTAATTTTTCTTTGTTTCTTAACATTACTTTTGATTCTCTCAACATTTTCTTATTTTCTTTCTTTCCTTTTTTCTTCTGTATTTTCCTTTTCTTTCTTTCTTTCTTTCTTTTTTTTCTTTCTTTCTTTCTTGAAATTTCTTTTTTCTTTTTCTGGATACTTTTTCTTTCTGTTTTCTTTGTCTCTTTCTTTTTGTTTTTCTTTTTTTTAAACTTCTTTTTTTGGTTTCCTTCTTCCTTTCTTTTGTCTTAAATGAACAATTACCCATGCTGTTACACCGGGTATATACTGGGTGCAATAGATAAATTGTCGTCAAAATTACGCAAAACTTTTAACAGATAAATTTACACAAAATTATCTTGAAATAGTAAAGAGCAAATTCATTCAATAAATCGCTATTGGCTTTAACCACGGCCTCCAGACGACTTCGGAATCTCCTGCAACTCTTCTGGACAGTCTGAAACAA